CGGGAGCTTTATCGGTCTATGCCACGCCGTGTGGCCGCTTGTATCCAGGCTAGAGGCGGGTCAACACCTTATTGAACTTGTTACTGTAACTCTGCAATAAATTATTCAATTGTTCTGAAATTTTAATCATTTACTATTCTGTACATTGTCTTCCTATCCACCAATTTTCGTTTCAATCGGACAACTCCTTCTTGGTGCGTTGATTTCTTTGTTATAGAATGTATATAATATTAAAAAGAAATATATATTTTTTTAAAAAAAGTTTGAAAAACAAAGGCCGCATTGAATTAATTCACTTACTCGTTCAACATTTTCTCCTGTTTTCGCACTGCATTCCATATATTCCATGTCTTCCTGTTGAGCATAGGATTTCACTACACTCACAGACACTGACTTTCTATTTGGATCTTCGTTCTTATTACCAGCTGTAAACACAAAAGTTAAAATATTTATTTTACACAAAACTAATGACAGTGAAACCTCCTGTTATAGACACTCCTGCAAAACGGACACCTCTCAATACGGACATATTTTTAATTCCCCGAACCGTTATGTACATTCTCCACAAAGCGGACAGTCATTTTGGCCCTGAAACGTTATTTTCTATCTCTTCAAACCGGACACAACTTTTTCTAAATTTGGAAAGAAAAAGAAACTACTTATCTGCTTTAAATTGCAAGGGGGGGGAATGCACCTTTTCACCATTTTTAAAGCATGTAAATTTTTTTGCCTTATCCATAACTGAAAATATTGTTAAGCTATTTAACTACTGAAGAATCGACCTCTCTCCTGTCACCTTGCCTTAGCTTTGTAAAGAAAAGAGAGAAAATGATACTGCTCTCCTGAAATAATTCAGACATAGGCATCTTTTCATCTGAACCACAAAGGTTATGACAACTTAAATGCTCTCAATGCTTCTTGCTTGAAAATTTCTTTAATTTTCTTATCAATTTGGAGACTGTATTTAACACAGATGAGGTAAAAAAGAGAACAGAAGAATAGTATTTGAGGTGTTCGTATAAATGAAACATTAATTCAGACACTTAATAGCTGATCAATTGTGAATAATCAACTCCATAGGTCCTCATGACTTACAAGTAGGCATTGTTTTTTTCTGTGAATCGTGGGAGGTTTACTTTCAAAAAGATATTAACCACGTTCCCTATCAAATGATAGATAGGTGTAAGGGGATGTAAACCTAATAAATGAAACCGACAGAGGACTGCAAGCTCCTATTCGGTATCATATATCTCTAACTGGAATATAACTAAATTATATTCATTTATCTGTAGCTACATCTGGAATCATGTATTTATATCAAACTTTTTTATATATCCTTTCATATCTTTCTTAAAGTTTAAATATTGTTGACAGTTATTGTAGATTATTTAATTATTTCTTCATCTTTGAAAATATTCTAAAAACAATTTACGGCGTTAAACTTCGTTATTTGGTTTGGGTACCCTTCCCGTAAGCGGGGAACTCTCGTAAACGAAATCGAAAATTTGATTTTACTCTTGAAATAATTAAGGGGGTGAATATAAGGCTAAGCCCCTTCTGAAATTTAGGCATTCGTGAAAATAAAGTTAAAAAGAAGTTATTTTAGAAAGAAAAAAAAAAGTTTCAACTTTGAAGTTACTTCTTTAATTAAAAACCTTATTGCCTTCTGAAATTTTAATGAAGTGTGAATAATGTGCTTTTCAACTGCTGAATTCTAGACATTCGTAAAAATAAAATCAAGTCAATTCGGTAATTTTAAAAAATAAGACTATTTTTTTTTAATTTTAAAGCTATTTTTCAAAAAGAAAACTATTTTCTTCTGGTATTTAATTGATAGGCGAATTATGTATTTCGTCCTTTCTGAAATTTAGACATTCACAAAAATAAAATTAAGTTAAATAAGTAAAATTTAAAATAGAGAAAATAAACTTTTTTTCCAATTTTGAAGCGATTTTTCAAGTTGAAAACTTTATTTTCCTCTGAAATTAAAATAAAGAAGCAATTAATGTAATTCACCCCTTCTGAAATTTAGACATTTATTAAAATTAAGAAGTTAAATTGGTAATTTTCGAAAAAAAAACTTTTTTTTTCAACGTTGAAGTTATTTTTGAAATTGAAAACTTTATTTTTTTCTGAAACTTGAGAATGTGAATGTGCTTCGCCTCCTCTGAAATTTAGACATTCATGAAAATAAAGTCAAGTTAAATTGGTAATTTTAGCTCTTTTAATTGCATTATTTAAATTATCTTTTTTAAATTAAAGCAAAAATTTTTTGTTTCATTGTTTTAATGTAGAATTATTAATATGCTTTTCATCAGTTTGATAAATTATTTGCAACATAAACATAATTTCAACTTTTTCACATAAACAGTACCATAAATGATTCCAATTCTTAATTAAGTTTCTCTTCAGATAACAAGAAAACATAAAATAGTTTTCGAAGGAGGTCAGCATTTCATTTAATTTATAATTGTGTATTTATGTACTGTTAGAATTGTTTCTTATAATTGTTCAGATAATAATTTTTATTATGTTCGCATATCAAATTCATTTATATATTACGTTAGTTCATGATTTTACCAGACGCCCGGTGGCTGAGCGGTAGCGCTTCGCGCTCTGTCGTGCCACAAGTCCCTGGTTCGATCCTCGGGCCGGGCAAGGTTGACTCAGCCTTTCATCCCTTCAGTGGGTCGATAAATGAGTACCAAGCATGCTTGGGAACTAAACACTGGGGGTTCCGCGTTCGGCTGACCACCTGACCGGAACATCTGCTCCTGCACCCCAGAGCCCAAGGTCAAGAAAACTGAGATGGGCACANGGGCTGTCGCGCCACTGAGTTTAGTTTTCATGATTTTACCATTTATTATTTGTGTATGGATTTTGTTATTAGTTTATATTTATGAATGTAATTTTTTTTTTAAATTGTAAAGCGAGTTTTCGAATTTTTTTAAACAGTTTTTTTTTCTTCAAAAATGAAAGACAACCTTTTATTTAAAAATGAAAGGCAATCTTTTACTCAAACATGAAATGCAACCTTTATTTTTATATTAAAAAAAACACCATTTAATTTTATGAAACATTTAATTTTATGAAAAAAAACCCAAAAAGACCACATTTAATTTTATAAAAAAAAAACTATTAACATTATTTCGTTGAGAATAGTTTAAAATATTGCATCATTTAAACTATTTAATTTTATATAAATCAGTTAAATAAATCATGGTTTTTTTCAATCAATAAAGAATAATAAATGAAGTTCTTTGAAATAAAAAATTTGTTTTTGTGTTTTCGAGGATTCTTTCTACTTCTACGAATGACATTCCAATATATAAATGAATTCTAAAGAATAAGCATTATCTTTATTTTATTGAAATAAATTTCAAGTCTTTTGCTTCCAAAGCACAAAAAAGGTATAAGTGGTAGTTTTATTAACTTCAAAAGGTGTTTTTTCCCCTACTTTCCTTATTTTTTAAATTTACCATTTTATTCTTTTCTTATATGATAACAATATTATATACAGCAGAGCTGAAACGCCAAATTTGTTACTCAATTACTCCCTCTCATGTAAAATAAACCGTTTAAAAAAAAACTCTATACACCAACAATAATTTATATAATCATGATCATTTTAATCAAAATACAAAAAATTAACCACAGTTTACATTTTAAACAAAAATATCAAAAAATATATTCTGAAAGAAAAGTTTCATTTAAAATTTCCATAAGATTTTATTTTTCTCAGTAATAAAAACTGTTTTAATTAGACAAAAAACATATTTTTAAGAATGGGGCAATTTGTTTCCGTAACATTTGGAGGGCAAAAGTTTTCAGCGTAATTTTTTTAATCCAAGTCTTATAGAATCAAAAATCTGAATCCGTCGCAAAATTCAGAGAAGTACTTTTTTGTTGTTGTGTGATTTTATAACTTAAAACATCGTTTGCACTTATTAATTAGTCCTAGAACGTGAAGGTTCGATCATCAGATCAAAAGTTATTCAAGGTGGTCCACTTATTCTTTTCCTTTTTTTCTTACTTATTTTTTATTGCGCACTGTACAATAATAGTTCCTAGGTTCGAATCCTGCCAGCAGCTAATGAACATCTCCCTCACACATTTCTCACTCCACATCGCTTTTGAGATTTGCTCAAATATAAGTGTATAATGCTACAATTTTGTATGCTGTTTTAATATTTGTTGCAAACTCAACTAATATTTTTTTCGGAGCTATTTCGACACATTTCGCTCAATTTTGAGAAATACTTTTTTGAAGTTTATGCCTGAATCAAAATGTAAATTACAAATATATGCCTAAATAAGTTGTTTTTGAGGAGCGAAAAACCATGTTTGTGACACTTAGGATCAAAATGTATTGCTCAGTATAAACAAATTTAAAGGAGTTAAGCTATAAAATGCATTCATTAAAATTTTTCACATTTAATTTTTTTTAAAATTTGTTTCCGATTCATAAATCATTTCTGTTAACTATTTTGATAGTGTGAATGTAATCATTAAATCATGGTCCTCATAATCACCCGAAATAGAGTTATGCAAACTATAACGCATATTAATGTGACGAAATAACTATTTCAGATGAAATAATAACTATTTTTAATAATAATATCAAAATAATAAAACTGATTTTAAAATAATAAAACGACCCAACTCCAACAGTTCCCCTCCAGTCAAAAAAAGATTGGCACGCCACTGGTTATGTGAGAATAAAGTGGAAAATTTAAACTGTCATATTTTCCTGGAAAACTCGAAAATTATAACCATCTCAAACGTGCTAATTCATTAAAAAGTAACTGATGGTTTAAATGTTGTAATAATTGTGAAGGGATAATGAATAATAATACCAAGTACGACGGGTGCTTCTTCGTTGAATGACCTGAATTCAGACAGCCATCCAGATAATTTGTGGAAAGTGGTCATGTTCGTAACATCATACACCAATATACAGCCATCAGCCTTTCTGAAATACCTGGAAAAAAATACACATCACGAATAAAATTCCAGATTCTTTATTTCACATCTTCTCGTAGTCAATGCATTTTCTCCATTCATTTTTGTTGCTATTGACAATCAATTGATCACTGTGATTATTCTGATTGAAGGTAAGGTACTTTCAATTGACGTTTGGCTATCTCTACAGAGATGTTCAAAGACAGAATTAGATAAGTTGATCTTCAGTCTATCAATTATTCGAATAGTAAACGACAAAAGTGCGTTTTCTCATCTCTTTGCTACAGACAATCAATTGATCGGAGTTGTGTGGCTCAGGAGATGGAGCGCTCGCCCCCTAATGAGTTGCCCCGAGTTCGAATCCCAACGATGGCTGGTCAATACGAGTTCTGCCTCACGCTGACCACAGTGCTGACGTAAAAATATCCTAGGACGAATCAGTCCCCTTGCCGTCAGGCTAACCGTGGGCGGTTTAAGTGGTTTCCCTCTCCATGTAACGAAATTGCGAGTTAGTTCCATCAAAAAAGTTCGCCCCAGGGGAAGTTTCCTACAAAGCTTGATCCAAGAATTTCTTTGTCTTCTGGATTCAGTTCAAAATGACAAGGCCATGGTGTTGAACATTGATAGTCTGTCGAAAATTGGGGTCGGCTGTTCAACGCCGGTTATAAAATAAAATCAATGGATAGATTTTAATGGATGCATGATTGAAGGTAAGTGCCGTCAGTTTTGACATCTCACTAATTATCACCCACGTTCGAAATCACTAAAGTTAAGATAAATAAAAGAACCGGGTTCATATGCGCATGAACAGTCACTCTGTAATGATAAGGAAACGCCATTTCTGATTATAGATTATTTCTGCTATTCTCAATACTTATGTTGTGCCCACCAAACTTAGAACCGCTATTCTAAATCTCTCGACTTATCATTATAATACATCTATTTTATTTGTTTTAAAAATCCTTCTGCCATTTGTTTTTTCGCCCTTCCATAGTCTCGTAAATGCATTAAAAAAAGAGAAGAGGTGAAACTTACTGCGGTACAATAGATTTGTATATCTCCTGACCTGCTGAATCCCAAATGACGAGTCTGATTTTTGTACCTTCCACTTCGACGTCTTTGAATGCGTGGTCAACAGCTATGGTCGCGCTCACTCTAGCTGAAATCAAAAATATTAAACCGTTAAACATTTTTTCATAGTGAAAAGTATTACAGAAAACCTCTAAGTAGCGAACACCTCTACTTATTACGACCACCTTTGGGAGGCAAGGAATTTTTTTCATAGGCTTAGAGTTGAAGAAATCCTTCAGGAGAGACAATTAAAACCTCTCCCAGCGAACGGGCAAACATTTGCACCGAAAGAGGAAAAGGTCCAATAAGGAAACACGAAAAAATATCAAAACAAAAAATTTAACAAAACAAATAAGTAGATTAATATCTATTCGAAATATTTGTGTGAGACTAATTTAGAGATCTGTTGTTGTTGTTGCTGTTGTTAATTTACGTCGCACTAGAGCTGCACAANCTATGGTCGCGCTCACTCTAGCTGAAAACAAAAATATTAAACCGTTAAACATTTTTTCATAGTGAAAAGCATTACAGAAAACCTCTTAAGTAGTGAACACCTCTACTTATTACGACCACCTTTGGGAGGCAAGGAATTTTTTCCATAGGCTTAGCGTTGAAGAAATCCTTCAGGAGAGACCATTAAAACCTCTCCCAGCGAACGGGCAAACATTTGCACCGAAAGCGGAAAAGGTCCAATAAGGAAACACAAAAAAATATCAAAACAAAAAATTTAACAAAAATAAGTAGATTAATATCTATTCGAAATATTTGTGTGAGACTAATTTAGAGATCTCTTTTTGACGATAACAACCTCATGTTGCAGTCAGAGAGCGCTAAAGACGATGCTATCAATGATTTACTTCTAGAGTTGGAAGTTAAATGAGAAGGGAAAAAAATAAATAAGCATCTCAAACTAACCTCTTCTCACCTTTTAAAACTAACTAATTTTTATGAAATAAAATGAAATGTAAACTTAAACAACAAAAACATAGTTGTTTACTCATTTAAAATAGTTTTATCATTCATAATTGGTTAATTTGTTTTTACACGGTTATATATCAGTTGGGATCATTTTTATAGACGCTAAAATTTATTCAGAGATCGATCCGTCTTTTCACGGCGCCAACAGAAGTGGCCTTTCCGCACCAAGAAAATGACACTGACTCATATCCCAAATCTAGCAACCATGTCACCTTTTTTAACAACACAGTTCAAAATAACTAAAACAAACTTTCACTTCATACTCATTAGAATGACTTAATATCTTATGAAATGAAACATATTTGAGCTCAAAAATTATATAAATTATTTCTTTTATTGAAACCAAAATTATATCGCCTTACCGAATAAGCTGTAGTAAGCAACTATATACTTTCTAACCGAAAGTAGAGCAGGTCGAGAGATTGATGTTGTTTACATTTATATTGAAAATATCATCTATCAGGAACAGTGCATGAAAGGAAACTGGTTTCTGTTCTGATTGACTTTTATGATTCATCCAATTAGAATAATAATGTTATTTTATGAAAAGTAAAAAAATCCTGCAACGGTCTGTTGTGGGCCAAGAGGGTCATGGAGGTTAAAAGACACCACAATTTCATGACTAACAGCTTGATGGTCAGCATTGCGCACAGGTTGCCTTTATTTCCCAGACAAGTTTGTATCCGCCCATTTGAAGCTGGGCTTCAAGCTGCCCTTGAGAATAAAAATTCTACTTATATGACAATTATATGTCATATATCACAATTGAGTGCCTTAACTACTGAGCCATTAATGCTCACTTTTGCTTTATTCTTACTCAAGCATAAAAATTATAATTTTTTGAACTGGCATTTGTAATTTAATTATTGACTAATGAAGATATCACACCTTTATAGTAACTAATTCAAGAAAAAAACATATTCTTACAGAAATCTGCGATATTGGACTTTAAAAATCGCGTGAACATGAATCGCGATATTGTATTTTAAAAGCTCATGAATATGAATTGCGATATTGGATTTTAAAAACGCGAAAATACAAATTGAGGTAGTATCGAATTTTAAAGCGCGTAAATACAAATCCAGATATTGGATTTCTAAATCCCGTGAATAAGAATCGCGACGTACGATTTTTAAATCGCTTAAATATGAATCGCAAAGCGCCACTTTTAAATCGGAAAAATACAAAAATAGATGTTTGATATTAAAATCGAATAAGAATCAAGATTTGCGATTATAGCACACACAGTTCCAAACATTCAAATTGTAAAAATCCGCCAAACAAAAAGAACTGAATCGGCGGAAGAATCACGTGTTTGTAAACGTATCGTTAACGAGATTAGCAAAAGTTTCGAAATTTCATTACATTAAAGATTTTTGATTTCCGGAAGTTCGCGAACCAATGGTCTTAAGATACGCGAAATATCACATATTCTGCTTCTAGTTTTTAGATCCGAGAGAATGATACGAAAATCCCGGAATTCCGTGGTACAACCGGAATACAATCACCCCCGAGTATTAAAATACAAGTCCTGACACGTTAATTTCATTCAATGCATTTTTGACCAGAATTTTATTGAAATATAAATTAAGGGCTTCAGAACATATGTTTATAAGTACATTCCTACATAAGTTATTATACATTCATACATTTTATAAGTTGGATGACAAGAATTCCTACAGCTTTATCTTTAACCGTTAACAAAAAAGTGAACTGTCTAATGAATAGGGTCCCGGAAAAATATGACAAAATAATTGACCATAATTTCCTCCAAGCTAAGTTTTTCAAAACGTTCTGCAAAGGAGAGGTTCTGTCCTAGCATGTCAGAATCCTCTTCAAATTTGCCCAAAGTTTGCTTTAATCTTTCATAAAATAAAATTTTTACTAGATTTATTTTACAAAGTTGAACTTCTTAATTACGAATTTTGTATCAAATGAGAGTTCTAGCATTACTTGGTGTAAAAAAGCATACAATAAGTTCTTACCTGCGAATTTTTCATGCACATATCGCTGTACGATTGAAGTTTTACCAACACCTGAATAATAATAATAATATCAATTATTTAATTATTAAACAATCAGTCACTTAAAACACGAATGGCCTGTCAAACGTTAATTTGGATAAAGTGCTCTAACTAACTTGTGATCTAATATAAGTTTCACATTCTAAGATGCAGTCTTCATAAGTTCGAAGAAAAGCTCTCAAATATGCTAATCAATGAGTGCAAACGATATTTTACTAAACGAAATCAAACACAAAAACATATTTTCACTGAATAAACACATCTTTTTTCTTGTTGATGAATTTGGTATCGAATTCTCAAAATTAGTTAGAAGTGTAGTAGCAAGTTGAAATAGTTTTAATTAGTCAGGAGAATGGTTATGAAATTTGAAATTTATTAATGTTAATTTAACTTTTCGCCATATTTCGAGAAATCTTTTTATCGAATCAAAAAGATTTTGCACGCGATTATGAAGCTTGTTTAGTCAAATAAAATTTCTCACTAAAAAAAGTTTTTTTTTTTTTACAACTTCTATTTAACTTACTACAGGTTTGAAATATTTCGAAAGGTATACAAACTTTTACATAACTAAGATGGCTCCGCTCACTTACCCTTCAAATAGGAAACGATATTTATCTTTATAAAGATACAATACAATATATTGTATTAAGTATTTTTTTTTTAAATATTTAAAATAAATGGTAAAATTCATGTCTTGCAACACATGTTACTATCTATTTTTTTTTTTCCTTTCTTTTTTTGACATCAACTTAAAGCTTGACTTTTAAAAGATCTCGAGAGAGAAAAATACATTTTCCTACAATGGATAATTAGTCAATATTCAAAGAATAAAAAATTGAGAAAGCGTCATTTGGTGAGAAAAAGGAAATGAAAATTGGAAAAATTTCGAAATATATTTATTCAGAGAAAGTTCGTTTTTATGCCTGATTTCGAAATTTAAAATATCGTCTCCACTAATTAATTAGCATATTTGAGGTCAACCTGTCAAACCATCAAAATTGAGTCCTAGAAAGTGAAATTTCGATCATTAGATCAAAAATTATTCAGGGTGTTTCGTTTCTGATTTTTTTCCCCCCTGCTTATTGTACGTTATAGAATGGTTTAATGAAATGTAACTGTCTGTTATCATTAGTTATTTTTTTTTTAATCATTTAGTGAATGAAATGATGAAGATTTATGTATAATTTTTTACATAAAATTATTACTCGCACGCACTTTTTTAAAACTATGTTCTCTAATTACTTATGAATTTGTTCTGTGATCCATTTGTTACAAGTACTGTCGTGTAATTGTGTAATCAACATAGCGTCAAAAAAAATCAAAATTGAGATTTTTATATATTTGCATTCGTATATTCAAAAAAATAATCGGCTACAAATCTAAAAAAAAAAAGCTTTTTTTTTTAAAAAAAGAATTTATCACACTGTCAATATTAACAGATTCTTTTAATCACTTAAAAATTTAAAATTTTTTACAAAGTATGCATTATAAAATATTCTTCAAACTTGTCATTGGCAAATTTTCTAATAAGTAAATTAAAACATTTACCTGATTCGCCAACAAGAATAATATTCCACTTCGTGGTGGGTTCCATTTTAAAACGTTACTTCCTTATTTACAAAATAGAAAAACACACGCACACATTGTGCATAAATCATTCGTAGAAATTATCCTAAGGATTTCGAAACACAAGAATAATATCTGCTGCCTATGATATTTCAACAATCACACGGTATTCACAGAGAAAGAGACAAAGGTTTATTTTATATCTCATTCAGTATTCTTGGGGATAACAATTTCATTATTTTTAAGATAATTCATTATCAGTGTTATTTCTCCGATGACTGTTCCGTTGATAACCGTGAAAATGAAACTCTCTTGACTCATCATGATAGTAATCACCCAATTTTGTTTTTCTTCGGCATTTTAGCAGAAATTCGTATCTATTAACGAACCCCTCATTCAGTATTTTAACATTATGCTTTAGTTTAAAAATAGGAGTAGATGACGCCTCTAATTTAAAATTTTAAAAATTCTAACCCCTTAAAAAAAAAGGATGATTTTTAGTTTTCTCTTCACAATAACGGACCGATTCTAAGCTTTTTTTTTATATAATTTCACAAACAGTTCACACAGTCTTTCACAAAAAGTCTTGACATATACCAGGTATTTGTAAGTTTACAAAGAAATAGGACTCTTATTTCTCAAAGTCATAAAATTATAAGGAGATTTTTTTTCTTCAAATTTCTCAAAAAAAAAAAAAAGAAATTCTTTTAAAAAAAAAAAAATGGTTGAAGCTCTATTTTTATTGAAATTTTCAAAGACAGTTGACAATTGGGTACTAGCACACTTCAAGACGAAGATCACAATACTCACACACATGTGACTTATGACGTCAGCTCCAGTTGATCGTTCAAAAGCAAAATGGCATCTTAAATAGAATGGAAAGAACAGTTGCAAACGCAAACAAATGCCACGTTTTAACAACCAATCAGGATCAATACACCCACACTACGTCACTTGCAGGTATCCCATTACATAATTTATAATCAGATATGTAACTTTGATATTAAATATAAATTGTATTTTTTAAAAAATAAAAATGAGGACTTAGTTTTTTTTCTCCGTCACTCTTGTGTTTTTTAAAACGGGCTTCTAGACTGGCAGCACAATACACAGTTATTTTTAAAATTAAAAGCGAAGATAAATTGGGTAATTACAAAAGTATTCGATTACGAAGATATTTTCCTCGTATCAATTTAGCATAACAATTATGTTCGATGCTGATTTATTTAAGAAGTTTACAATTATTCTAAAAATAACTGTAGTTGGGGCAAAAATTATGATTCAAACAAGCCCTTCTACACAGAGATTAAAATTATCATGGTTTACATAAACCAGAATTTAAGTATTTAGTTACGAGAAGAACTGAACTCTGAATTAGAATATGACATTTTCATCTTGATTTTAAGAAACTATAAAAAAAAGTATTCACCATACATTTGTGTTGTGTATCTCCCATATAGGCTTTAGTTGTTCAACTGTTTGATCCCGTAAAAGCTGACTAATAATCTTAACTATTTAAGCATCTTAACTATTTAAGTTATTTTCACTTTTTAAAAAAAATAAATAAATAAATAAAAAAATACGGGACAGAACAAAAGTTATAGTCTGCCAGTGACCAGGGTTCAGAAAGAACAGGTTTGTTCTCTTAATTTCTTTTTTCGTCTTTCATTTTATTTATTTACTTATTTATATTTTCAAAAAAATAGAAGGATAACTACACTTCTTTTCTCTTCATGAAAGTATCTTTTTATGGGAGGAAAATGCCATAATAAGATCGCTTATTAAGAAAAACATGCATTGTAGCCGAAGTATTGTTTTTTAATTATACTAGATTTTTCGAATTCTAAATCACTATAAACGCGCTCCTGTAACAGCCCGCTGTGGGCCAGGGATTCATGGGGGTTAAGGCTTTACAAATTTGTGAATAACGGCATGACTGTGGAAATATGGCCAGAATTGCGCACAGGCCGCGTTTACTTTCCAGACAAGTTGGTACCCATAGCTAAACGGGCTTCCACTGAGGATCGCACCTCAATCCTTAACCATGTGCATATAACTTTCAGTTAACTTTAAACTTAGTTAATAATTCCATCCAACTTATAGAATTCTTAAATCAAGTTACGTAAAAAAAGTTTTTCTTTACAAGATTTACGGTCTTATGAAAGATAAACATTTCAAATTTTTTAAAAATATTTTGAGATAATTCAATATATTTAAAGACCACTTTTAATACTATTGGTTTGTGGAAAACGATATAAGGATAAATCATTTTCAAATTCAATTTCTTAATTATAAAAATTTTCTTACAGTCTTAGCTTATAAATCTAAGATAAATATTTTAGTCTTAATAAAAAATATATTTAAATATAAAAAATACAGATTATGAGAAGAAAAAATAATGATTTTTTTTTCTTTTTCAAAAGTGCTTTTAATAAAACTTAAATCGAATCAAAGAGAATCGAATTCTGCTAGTAACTGAGTGATTGCGTTCTATCTCATTTATTAGTTCCAGTATTTTTTCTTTTAAATTTTAGAATGTATTTAACACTTTTTATAACCACATCCAAAGGAGTTTGAACATTATTGGCTTTGATTTCAATTTAAAAGGACGTGAACTATTAAGGTATAGAATATTAATAACAACAATAAAAATTAAACTACTTTCTGACTGCTTTTTATTTAATGGAATGTTTTAAAAACTAAACAAATGGCAGAGGGCCATATTTAAAACATTAATCTAAAGGACAAATTTTGCATTTATTGATAATATATAATTTTTACACGGTTTCTTACGATTAATCTTTTCTTTGGAATATTTTAAAATGAAATGTTTGAAAATTTTTCCATTTATGCTTAATTATATCATTCTTCAAAATCAAAAATTTTTCAATCAAAAAAGGAAATAGAATTAAGAATTACTACGAAATAAAGTGTGACTTTTGTTAAGTGTTTTAAATATGCATGTTTACGTATATAAGATGTGTTAAACACGTGCAAAAACCCAAAAATCAAAACATCCTTAGAACAACTGCAAAAACACAAGTATCTAAGAATGTTTAGAACGATTACAAAAACAGTTGTTACAGAAAATGATTAGAACAATTGCAATAACAAATATATTTATTTTATTCGATTCGCGAAAATAGACAAAAATGGTCGCCATCCCAATGGTAAAATTTAAAATGGTCGTCATTATTTGTAATCGATTAACAATACTAGAATTTTTAATTCACGTGAATTTTCTTTAGTATCAGCTGAACACAGGCTATATTATCAAGTTTTAATCGAAGGAAATCCTAATCTTATCAGCTATGTTCTCTTGTTTTAAACATTTTCTACACTTACTTAAGTTACTTTTCTTTCTAATTTTCAATAAAATAAGAAAAACATATGAATGGGAATGCATACCTGATTCGCCGACTAAAATTATATTCCAGTTTATCACTGACATATTTGAACAGTTTGTTCTAACCCAAACAACCAAACCACGTGATCGGAGTTAAATACAAGCATCCGCGCCTGTTTCGAAACGTAGAAAAAGGACACTAAATATGACTCGCAAAAGTGAAACTAACACACGACATTAAAGGTGATTTTATTTCCTCATAAATATCGCCAAGATATGCGAGGAATAGTTGATATTTGATCTGCTTTCTAAGTTTTGCTCTTTGTGTAAGTATATGGACAAGAGTTAATCTGCTTAAAACCAGACGACGAAAGGCTGTAATTTGTCTTTCGTTTCAATTGTTTATTGACTTTGAAGCTTTTTCGCTTTCGGCAAGGTAAATAAAAAGTCTCAGTCGAAGTACTTTAAAGTCAAAGTAAAGTTTTATTTCTAAACTATGTACAGTACAGTGCGAAAAAAAAATTTAAACCCTAAATAACTATTGATCCTTATGATCCGATTTTCAAGTATTGAGACTCAATCTTAATGCTTGGTTTGAACAGCTAACCTTGAAAATGCTAATTAATTAGAGAATATAATATTTTAATTTACGAATTATACACATAAGCGTACTTTCTCTAATTAAATATACCTTTCATTGTAAGCTTTATGTAAAACTGTGTTTAGTTAACAATTTAAATTAAGAGCAAAAATTGTAAAATGTTATTTCCCATTCGCACTATTTTACTAAATAATCTTTTTGAAGAAAAACATGTAAAGAGTTATTCAAATAAAACCAACTTTTAAAGATTATTAAAATAACAAAATTGAGGATAAATTTACAACGACAACCGAGTAAAATTATTCAGTTAAAATTTTTCCCTTACTGAACCTGAAACTAATTCTATGTTATTGCTATGAAACATTTTGGGGTTTTTCAACTCAATACTCTTTATTTAGAGATAATAATTAATAAAAAGTTTCAAAAAATTTTAATTGTTTTATAAAAAATTTAGGTTTAGTAGATCCCAAGAACCTATACAAAAACATAAGTTAGGTTGTTACTGATAATCTCAAATTATCAGAGAAAATAGAAAAGAGTTGAAAATTATTTATTGGAAACATCTCCATGTTTCAGTGCCAATTAATTAGGATTTCGATAACGGGTTGGTGTTTTCCTCGTTTGATTATTAACTTGCTATCCCAGACATGCTTACTTTTATAACAAGGGTTTCAAATATGTTATGTATATAAAGGGCGGACATTACAGAACACTCTGCATAAACATTAATTTCATGTGTATAATTTCAAAACTATCATGCTAACAATAGACCCGAGCCGTGATGGTTCAGAGGATGGAGCCTTTAGATAAGGTGAACCGAGTTTGAATCCGAGCGATGGTTGGTCGATACGAATTCCGAATCCGGCTTGCACTGACCACAGTGCTGACATGAAATATTCCAAATGGTAGACGGATCATGGGTTAGAGTCCCCTAGCAGTCAGGCTAACCATTCTCGTGGTCTTCCTCTCCATGTAACGCAAATGCGAGTTAGTTCCATTAAAAATTCCTCCACGCAGGCAAATTTCTCCCAATACTTGATCCAGGAGTTCCCTTGTCTTCTGGATTGGGTACAGATTTACAAGGCTCGGGAGTTGAACATTAGTAGTCGTAAACGCAAAAATTGGGTCGTCTGTTCAACGACGGCTATAATATATATATTAATGGGTGATTCTCACGAAACATGACAATTCGGACCAAAAAATTTCCTCAAATTTAAAGTCTTCAAAATAATCTGAAATTTTTTTTGTACACTTCTTTAGCTACACTTATTAATATCTTATAGACAGCAGTGTAGTTTATTGACATTTGCTCGAGAAAAAAAATAAAATAGAAATTCATCAAATCTTGAACGCCAGGAAAATGACATATTAC